ACGTGTTCGGCGTAATGACGTACAACGACCTCCACGACTTCTGTAGTCCTATTCAGCCACTTGGTAACAACCATCGTTTCTCAGACACGTCCACTCTTCAGAAATCACCAGTGGGGTCACTGCTGATGATTTAATGTCATAGAACAAACCGTGATCCGTCTCTTCAATGTGTCTCAACCACAGACCTTATTTCAGATACTTTCCAGAACCCTATGGAGAGATCCCATTGGCTCTGAGACGAGGGAACAGGAAGTGGTAAAATGCTGACTCACTTCCAGGTTTTAGGACTCGCTCCTGCACCACTCTATTAGGCTCTCAATAAAAGCATGTTGGTAACCTGGCTCTGGTCTCTTTTGGCCAGTAGGCTGGGTCCTGGGAGGACGTCTTGACCACCGAAACAGGAACCTTAAAAGACCCCGGACCGTTTACGTTTTTTTGTGTTCGTTGTTATTATTTTTGCTGAAATAAACCGGTTTTGTTTCACCCCCAAATCCTTCTCCTTCCGTTCTTTTTAAACTGAGTGTGAGCGGAGGTGCTCACAGTGGCGCCTGAGCAGGGACAGGACGGAAGCAGAAGGATTATTAGGGTGAAACAAAACCGGTTTATTGCAGCAAACTAATAACAACAAACACAAAAACACTTAAACGGTCCGGGGTCTTTACAGTTCTTGTTTCGGCGGTCCAGACTACCTCCCATGATCCAGCCTACTGGCCAAAAGAGACCAGAGCCAGGTTACCAACATGCTTTTATGAGTGATTGATTACCTGATTCTGATCAGCTGTCTGGTCTCTGGCGCTCTTACCACTCCCCGCTGCCACACCTTACTTTCAAACTGGACTTCCAGCAGTGCTGAGCTTCATGTGGTTTTACAGTTTCCATCCAACACTCAGAGGCTTCTCAACACATCACATTGAGTTACTGAGGATCAGTTTTCTAACAGCCACAGGGGGTCTGTTAGCCTCCATCAGAATCACAATGAATGCTCCCTGTGTTGTGCTGCACGTAATGTATGCAGAGGTTCTTTCTTTTATACCTGTACATAAGATGTGGAAAAGATCTCTGCTGCTTTAGCAAACTGCAGAGAGGAAACTGAGAGGTGAATTCACAGAGAGGTGATGAGCAGGGCGAGGGTCACCTGCTGCTCTCTGACTGAAATACAGCACAAACAGGTACAGAAAGTGTTGCTGCTTTGGGATTTATTTTACGCCTGATAGTTATGATCCATGTGCAAAGGTCTAAACGTGGCTTTGTAGGCAGAACAATGAACAAACGGTGAACAAATAAATAAAAGTTGAGGCGTTTCTGTGCTGCTGCTGATGCTTTCTAACCTCCTCATAACAGAACGTGTCAGGATTTAAAGACATTTCAATATAAATAAATATGCAAAGTATAGATGTCACAAGAACTCATCAGTGGGTACACCTGATTTTTTCTGATAGGACATCATGTTAATAACAAAATCATGTTGAAATCTGCAGGAGAGCTAGCTAATGTTAGCTATTAGCTCTTAGCTGCTAGCCTTTAGCTGTTAGCAGCTGGGGAAATGTGATTCTGACCCATCTATGGTGCGTTCAGGCTGAGTTCAGTAGATATGAGTATTGGGCAAAGCTGTATTATAACGATAGAATGATGGTTGTGAATATAATCTGGTAAAATATCCTACAAGCTAGGTTATAATTTCTCTCTGTTAGCGCCGGTGGGAATCAGATTGCATAAAAATTGATTTAATTTAAAGTGGACCTATCATGCTATATTTGAAACATATATTGTAGGGCCATACCTATATAAAACATGTCTGTGAAGTTTTTTTTTCAAAATACCAAACAGATCATGCATTTTAGCCATGCCTCATTTCGCTCTATTTGCTCTTTTCCAGCCCTGTTTTTGCAAGGGCTGATTCAGTGACTACAGCGCCACTTACAGGCCTGGCATATGTACTACAGCGTCTCCAGCGCTTTCGAGCGGTCTCTCATTTCCCTGATAGGTGGAGAGTTGCCCATATAGGCGGAGCACCCCTTTTCTGACGTCAGAAAAATTCAAATAATAATCAGCTCCGCTGCAGCCACGTTTTTAGAGATTTGGGTACGGAGGAAAAGAGAGAGGGTTGTGTTTTCTGACACTTGGTGAGTTCCCTGATACACATTCATGTATAAAAGACGTACAAAAGTGCATTTTGAATGATAGGTCCCCTTTAAATGCACATGTATTTATTCAGGACAACCCTAACCCTGTAT